GAGAAGAGTCTTGGTAATTTATATAATATTAATTAATGATATAAGAGTAATGAAATAGAATCGTAAATTATGATGGGTGCATAGTTAATTTGATAATGATAATATATAACGAGCTGATTGGGGGAAATGGAATTTGGATTATGGTGCAAGTTGTTTTTGTAGAATAGTGGTGAGGAGGGAAATTAGTGGATTTATTAGAGCGGAGAGTTCTGTGATAAACTTAGCTAACAATATTAAAATTATTTTGTGATAAACTATAATTGTAATTGGTGATAGAGGCATAGGAAGCTTCGAGAAGATGAGTAGGAATTTGGAGAGGAGGGAGCGTAGGAGCAGTATTCGGATTTAAGTAATTTGATTTTTGTTGAATCGGCTGAGAACGTTTCTTATGTTTGATAAGTTCATTATATTTTGTTGCTTTGAGATTAGCTTGGTTTTTGATAATATTTTTGTACACGGGACAACCCTTGTAGGAGGCTGTGTGTGGTCCTGAGCATAATGCGCATTTCGCGGGAGTGGAAGGTGATTTTGAGCATTCAGAGGAGACGTGGTTATCTCCGCATTTGACGCACCGAGGGTTATGGTGACAAAAGTTACTTGTATGAAAGTAAGCTTGGCATGACTTGCATTGAGGAGGGGCACGTTTTTTTTTTTTTTGGAAGTTCAATTTTAATTTTGGTGTGTAACAGCGAGTAAAGATTTAGAATGTCGCTATTATTGGTTGCAGGTTTTAGATCGATACGAAAAAGAGGCAATGCCTTTTTGTTGATACGGTGTAAAATGTTTGTGACCTGAATTACTTCATGGYCATTATCTGTGATGTAGGCTTGTATGTCTTCAACGGGTGTAGACGGGTGGAGGTGTCTGATAAATACACTGCAAGTGAGTATGGAATTTGAACTGCTCGTTATCGGCTAGGTATTTAAAAATAGTGTTCCAGGCAACTACGGTGCCGACGTGGATAATCAGATATTTAGGAGTTGATTTAAATAGAATGCTCGACGATTCAGTAATATCAAATAGAGCGTTTTTGAGCGTGGAAATTTCGTATCCTTCACTTACGTAAAAGGGAGGTGTCTGATATTTAGTCGGAGAGGGTGACTCCATGTTGGCCGGTGGTAAAATGAGCTGATCCTGAGATGACAATTTGACGGGTGGAGGGCTGAACACYTCCGGAGRAGAATCGGCATCTTCGGAGAGAGARGCGAATCTGTTGGGTGTAACAAATATTTTGCTTTTTTTTCGCTGTCTTTGGTAGACGATGATGATAGATTACATTTTGAGGTATTACGGGACATAATTGAACTGGGAATAGAACGCCATTAGCGAATAGCGATAACGGACAGAGGTCGTGCACGTCTACTCACGATAAGCGTTTACGATCGACTGATATTAAGTATTTATTCAATTAAAAAATAAGCATTTGAAACTTTAGAATATACTAAACATTTTATACGCTGTTAAATGGAGACTTAAACCGCCCCCCCCCCCAAACCCTCCCTGTAAACGTAAAATCGTAAACTTTGGAAGGCTATAACTACTAAAACAATAGTTTCCGGTAAAAATTTTTAAACTATCGTTTTAAGCATAACAAAATAAATAGGTTAAAAAATTGAAAATCGTGAGGGGTTCGGTAAAGTGCATTTTAGTCAATTCTATTTATGTATTGTCGGGGTTGCATTCATGACTTACAACTAAAATACTAAATAATTATAACTATAAGTTTAATAATATAGCTATAATGAGGAATGTTCTTGAATTATTTGGTAATCGGGGTTTCGAGCTATTACCTAGTGTTTACTGTTTAGTGTTTACCCTAATTAGTAATTAATAAACATATGAGTGAAAATTTATAAAAAATACTTGATTACATTTTCTTTTGATCTGAGCTGCCGCGGTTATCGCTTATCAAGGTTTACATTTGTAATCGAGTTCTAATTTTAAAATAAATGACAAATGAGTAATGACTGTATACATGAATATGTAAAGAAAGTTTATATTAGTKGTAATCCTAAGAAAAGAATTTGAATTTAATAATATGAAATTATTTTATACCTACCTACCAAAACGATTCTGAGTGAATATGGTTTACCAGCTTATAATATTATATTAACTAGGTATATTTTAGGATATCATTGTGATTAAAGTAATTTATTTTATTATTAGGAATTAGTATTACAGTAGGTTAAATTCATTTTTGCCGAATCAATTGCTTAGAAAATGTCATTGTGTAAATAAAATATAACAATATATCTACTCTAAAAGTTTCAAGTACCCACAAATAACATTTTTATATTGTAATAAAATAAGTAAAATTAACAGCTTTAAATACGCAATTTAATCCAAATTGAACTTAAAGTTAAAGTTTGTAAAAAATTTGAGTTTTACTAATGTAACAATATTTTTTAAGAGGACGCCACACCCGCATGTGTTGTCTCCGTCTTACAAACTTATAACATAGCAAAATCTGTTTAGCGCGGGACAACTTTACTCGCTTTGTAATTAATGGAGAATTACCAAAATTCCACAACACATAGGTAAGAACTTTATCTGTGTCATAGCGTCGTTATTTTTTTTAAACATAAATACAATTAAAGTTATAAGCTTAAGAAAATACATTTATTTTTTAATTAAATTACTTAAAGTTATTGGTTTGTGCTATCAAAAAAATAACGACGCTATGACACAGATAAAGTTCTTACCTATGCGTTGTGAAATTTTGAAAATTCCATTATAAATATTGAGGGAGAAAAGTTGTCCCGCGCTAAACAGATTTTGCTATGTTATACGTTTGTAAGACGCAGACAACACATACGGGTGTGGCGTCCTCTTAATGTGGGAGACATCGATCCTTGGATCCACGCCTGGTGTATTTAAATTGATTACATAAACATTGAGTGAATATTGATATTGCACCTACGGCCATTTTTCTTAGAATTACACCAAAAACCAAAATCGATTTTGAATAAAAATTCGCGGTTTTTCTTAATTTAATTTTTCATTTTTCACGGCGCTACGGGATTTWGGAAATGCTGGGAATTTTTACGATCCGAAGTTCCGAATGCATCAGTAGAGTAATTTTCCCATCTAAAAAGGTACTAAAATTGATACAGAAATTGCCGAAGCATTATTTTGTCTATTTATCGTATTCAAAAACACAAAAATATTATAAATTCTTTTTCTTGTTTTGTTGTGATTCAAAAAAAAAAAAAAAATAACCATAAATACTTGAAATTTAAGCTAAATGTAAATAAAATGTACATAGCTCGATGAATATAAATTTTTTTCAGTTTGTTGGCTGTCAACAGAGACAAATGATCATCAATTTGTACATATCAAAAATGACCGAACAAGCCACACTGCCAGTTCAACGACATCTTAAATACATAGACCTCATCAAATTGATGTCACAAGAAATAGGAATTGGTCAACGGACAATTTCAACAACTTTATCCGAATATCGTAGAAAAGGTACGATTACTTCCCCTAATAGAAAAAAAGTACGACCAAAGTTAACTGACAAAGTTAATGAATCAGACAAAAATGCTATCCGACGAAAAATACACGAGTTTTGGCACCGGAGAGAAATCCCTACTTTTGAAAAAATAATGGCATCAATCAACAATGATCCCAGCTTAACTAATTTTTCACGCTCGTCTTTTCAATTATTATTAAAAGATTTAAATTTCGTTTACACGAAAATAAAACGAAATAATGCTCTATCCGAAAGAGGTGATATAGTCTGCTGGAGACAAAAGTACTTGGAGTCTATTAGATATTATCGTAACTGTGGTCGTCAAATTTATTATCTAGACGAATCTTGGATAAGCGTAGAAGAAACATCTAAGTCAGTAGATACCACAATTCAATCTGAACAAAAGAATCCGTCAGTTAAAGGAAAAAAATTAATTGTTGTCCATATAGGATCGTCTGATGGATTTGTTGATGGTGGTCTTTTGGCTTTTGAATCAAAAGACAATTCCAGTGATAATCATGAYGAAATGGACGATGATACATTTTACGAGTGGTTTAGTAGTATTTTATCGTTATTGAAAGACAACGCAGTGATCGTAATGGATACTGCGTTGTACCATTCGGTCAAAAAACATACGTTTCCCCACATTTCGTGGAAAAAGGACAAAATTATTACATGGCTGGAGAATAATGGAAAATTAATTCATCGACCTATGGTTAAACATCAACTTTTGGAGGAAGCGGAACAATTTCGAACGGTTTGTGAAAAGTATGTAATTGATGAATTAGCAAAGGAAAATAATAAAATAGTACTTAGAATACCTCCATATCATTCGGAGTTAAATCCTATCGAGTTAGCCTGGTCTTTTGTGAAACAACACGTCAAAACAAATAACACAACATTTACGTTAACGGATGTACAAAAACTTCTACATGAAGGCGTGGAACGAGTTACACCTCTGATGTGGAAGAATTATATAAATCATGTCATAAAAGTAGAAGATAAATTCTTTGAACTTGATTTCATCATCGATGAACTTTTGGAAGCGGAACTCGCGGAACCCAGTGCTTTACATATTGTAACCTTATCCGGTGACGTCTCTGATTCTGAATCTGAATTTGATGGTTAATAAAATATTTTGTTAACATTGTAAATATTATATTTGTAATATTTCAATGTAATATATTGTACATTGTAAATACTAAATAGGTTTTATGTACCATTGACTGTTCTCCTATGAGACTTTTTTTTATATAGATAATTTGTTGATATATATAAGTAATAACTAATAAGTAAAGTATGTTGTAAAGAAATCCATAAAAATACTCATAATTATGAATAAKAAATCGAGGTGTTTAATAATAACTTATTGCAAATATGTGGCATTATATAAATTTGCATTTTGCGTCACTTACAAATTACATTCATCGAAAAATTGCACTTRGTATAGTATTGATAATCTATACAAGTATGCCACGGTTCAATACTGATTGGAACACGATTTCTAAGACTGGTCATGGATATTGGAGAAACTTGTCTGATTTAAATTATTTTCTTATCTAACGTCCGAATACGGGCCTTAAATCGTGGCAACTGTAGGTATAGAAGATTAAAAGATAATCTTAGAAGTTAGGTATGTAATACCCTTAACACCATTTATCGGTTTAAGAATACTCTATTCTAATTTATTCACTCTTTTTTATCAGCCATCTCTGTAATATGATACATTACATTTCAGATAATATTACTTATTTTTTTTTTTTTTTATATAGTCATTGTTAGTCTAATGTTATGAGTTTATGAGCAATCGCTTTTAGGATTTTTTTTATTTATTTATTTATATATAT